GGGTTAAGGCAATAAGTGGATTTTACCCATATTCAATGTATTTTCTAAGTCAAAAAGGGGCATAATTCTGGCAAAAACCTTGACAGAGTTATGTCCTCTTGTCTGTTGATGAAGGTCGTGATGGTAAACAAGTATGGTCAGTTTCAAAGCAATACCTCCAATGGTTTTGAAATAAAGTGAGGTGGTACAAAAAACTTAACCAAGCTCAATACACTTTCTAAGTCAAAAAAGGGCCATAATTCTGTCAAAAACCTTGACAGAGTTATGTACTCTTGTCTGTAGATGGAGGTTATGATGGTGAACAAGTATGGTAAGTTTCAAAGCCATACTTGTAATACTTCTGAAATAAAGTGGGGTGGTACGAAAAACTTAACCAAGGTGTGACGCCAACGCTAACGCTAACGCCGACGCCGGGGCGAGTAGGATAGCTCCCCTTTTCATAGAAAAGTCGAGCTAAAAAGCATGTGCATTGTGATATTATTTTCACGAAATTGCAGGTTAAGTTTAACAGCTTGTCCCTTAGTTTTATTGACAATACTAAAACCCGGATTTCGAATATCGTTGTGGTCTAGATTTAGGCCATATCAGTTCATTCATTCATTTATACATTTTCAAAATTTTCCTACAAGAAGAAAGTTCACCTGCAATTGAGTATAAGGATAGGTAATGGAACTGTTGTAAACAATTATTCTATTGATTTTATCCTTATTACATTTATCTGTTGCGCAGAATGGTTGTTTTTACAAAGTGTACCAGTATCCGGATGTTGAAAGCTATCCGATTTTCTGCAATTACTGCTGTCACATGGCCATCTATTTTTTATGAATACTTTAGCATTAATTTGCATGGCTTAATAAAACTGAGCATGCAGCATTTCATAATTTTGCTGTTTAGGGTGTTCTTTTTGGGTTTCAGGTTTTCTCTATTTTTAAGGGGAAGTAACTCATGTTTACTAAATTATTTGTTGTTTTTCTGTCTATCTTAGGTATTACTTATAATACTATTTTGTTGTATATAATTCACCAGTTTGTAAGGTCATCAAAAGCATGTTAATGTTAATGTTAGGATTTCATATTTATTTAATATAAACTGGGAATTATTAATGTTATGTGCATACATGTATATCTTAGACTGTAGTATATTGATATGTTGAGACTTATTAATTTTTTCTGCATTTAAAGAGATACAGTTATGTCATTATTATTAAAGGGATGAGACTTTCATTTAAAGTTATAAATGATAAAACATGTATTGATTGAAAATGTCCTTAAACTTGGATCAAGCAATATAATTAATAAAGTCTCAAAAAATCATATTCTGAATAGTTATTCTATTTTTTTTCTAACATGTGCATAGTTTGAAAAGGACAGCTTCTGTCTTATCTATTTGTAATGAAGGGACACCGGTCTCAACCTCCAGGTCTCCTGAGTCAACCCGACAACAGACTGTACATAGAGTAGATTGTTACTTGCCCTTGAATAAATTTGTGCACTAAATTTATAGTGGGTAATTTGTGCCACATGAAAACCAACATAGTACAAAAAGTAACGGGCGCCAGATGAAAACATGAAAATACAATCTACCACAAAGTGGTTTTGTTTGTTGCATTTTCATGTTTTTGCCCGTTGCCCTTGATGCAAAATACAAATCAGCCTTCATAAAATTTCTTATGTTGGTCACAGGTTTGAGTTCTAGTCAAGCTCAAAGTTTTTTCTCAATCTGTGACTGCATATAAGCATGAGTTCAATTTCCTATGCTCTGTAACATAAGAAATTCACGGACACAAATCGATATAGTGGGGGAAATATGTTGTGGTTTAGAACTGTTTCATTATTAAAGAGAAAATGTGTAGCCGGCCGGATAGCTCAGTTGGTCTTCTGAAAGTCATGGGTTCGAGTCATGGTCAGACAGTTTCAGTCAGGGTTTAGAAGTGGTTTTTCAATTGACACATGTTTGATTCATTTAACAGATTGCATTATTTGAAATGGACAAAGGCAGTATTGCATGATACTTTTAGATCTACAAAAGGCATTTGATACAGTTGAACACACTATACTGCACATGAAGAAGTTGTTTTTCTTCTTCTTCATGAAACTTCAAGCATCTGCCATATATAATGACATTCTTACATGGTTTAAGTCTTATCTCTGATAGACCGCAGCTGGTGGATGTGGCTGACACTCATTCTACTACTGCTCTGAGTACCTATGGTGTCCCCCTGATGTTCATTTAAGGTCCTCTTTTATGTCTAATATATGTCAATGACATGTCTTCAACCCTAAGCAATAAGCTTTATTTATAATGCACAGGCACGAGTATCAGACCTGGGTAGAAAAAATAATGGCCAGCATTGATAAAAAAAACCTGTGTTCATCTTAAAAGTGTCAACAAACAAAATAAAATGTAAATAATGACCCCCTTTAAAAATATACTTCAAGTAGATAGTATATTTTTAAAGGGGATCATTATTTACATTTTTTTTCTGGTTTTTATAAACACAGTTTTTTTTATCAATCTGGTCATCTGGTCATATTTTTTCTTCCCAGGTCCGATACTCGTGCCTGTGATTATATGCTGATGACTCAGGAATCCTTGTGTCTCGTAAAATAAATCTGAAGAAATTCTTTCTTATAGCATGAGTCTTATAAGATTGCTTAATTGACTATAAATTGTCTTTGCATCTTGGCAAGACAGAGTCTATTCTTTTTATGCCCTCGCCATGTAATGGCCGGGGCATATAGTGTTACCCTGTTCCGTCCTTCCGTCATTCCGTCCTTCCGTCATTCCGTCATTCCGTCATCATCAGTTTCCGTTCATTATCTTAGTAACGGTTGCACACATTCAACTCAAATTTGACATATGGATATGTCGTGAGAAAATACAGGTCAAGTTCGAATTTGGTCATGGTTTGATGATTTTTGGCAGAGTTATGCCCCTTTTACTTTAAAATAATATGAAATTTTCAGTTTCCGTTCATTATCTCCCCAATGGTACAACACATTCAACTCAAACTTTACATATGGATATGTCATGAGAAAATACAGATCAAGTTCGAATTTGGTCATGGTTCGATGATTTTTGCAGAGTTATGCCCCCTTTTACTTTGAAAATAATATGAAATTTTCAGTTTCCGTTCATTATCTCCCCAACAGTACAACACATTCAACTCAAATTTGACATATGGATATGTCGTGAGAAAATACAGGTCAAGTTCGAATTTGGTCATGGTTCAATGATTTTGGCAGAGTTATGCCCCTTTCACTTTGGAAATAATATGAAATTTTCAGTTCCAGTCATTATCTCCCCAATGGTACAACACTTTTAACTCAAACTTGACATATGGATACGTCACAGGAATGCGCAGGTCAAGTTCAAAGTTGGTTATGGTTCAATGATTTTTGGCAGAGTTATGCCCCTTTCACTTTGAAAATAATATGAAATTTTCAGTTTCTGTTTATTATCTCCCCAATGGTACAACACATTCAACTCAAATTTGACACATATGGATATATTTTTTGGAATGCCCAGGCCAAGTTGGAATTTGGTCATGGTTCAATGATTTTTGGCAGAGTAATGCCCCTTTCACTTTGAAAATAATATGAAATTTACAGTTTCTGTTCATTATCTACCAACTACTCAAATTTGACATATGGATATGTCAAAGGAATGGGCAGGTCAAGTTTGAATTTGGTCATGGTTGGATGACTTTTTGGCAGAGTTATATCCCTTTCACTTTGAAAATAATATAGATACATCTTAGGAATAAGCAGTTTAAGTTTGAATTTGGTCGTGGTTCAATGATTTTGGACAAACTTATCTTTCTTGAATGTTGTAAAAATTTTGAACTTTCAGTTTCAGCACTGAAATGTATGTAGCCATTATTTTGGCTACAAATACGAATTCGATATGCTATTTTCAAAAGGTTTAGACTGAATAATTTCAGTGCCTTGAACATTGTATGAAAATGGTTTGTGTTAACATTGAAAAGTTTTAAGGGCTTTGAACTTAAAATGAAAAAAATTATTTGTGCAAACAAATTTGGAACTAAATATTATAACATCTGAAATTTTGGCTGCATGCGGGGGCATCCGTGGCATGATGACACATTTCTAGTTTGGTTTAAGTTTCAACTTAAACTGGCCCTAGCCTCCAGGTCACATGTAATGGTACTGCTATAAAGTACACATCTTTTGTTAAGTATTTAGGTGCAAATCTGGATCAAATTCTTTTGGCGTCGCCCTTTGATGCTTTGCATCAATGCTTTTCTTGTATTGTGTAGAATAATTGGACATTTAACTGTGACATAACCTAATTTTGTTTACATGACCTTAATATAGGCATTACCTGTTTGTTTGTTGGTTTGTTTGATTGTTTCATTTTACGCCTTTTCCCAACAGTATTTCAGTCATATAGGCGGGTAGTTTCAGTATTTCAGTCATATAGGCGGGTAGTTTCCTAACCATCGTTCCTGGAGAGTTACACCAGTACCAGACTACCTTCCTCCGTGCTAAACTACCAAAGCATCTCCTGGGGATCGAACCCACGCCAGAGAGAGAGGCATTACCTAATTTGCCGCCTATAGTACATGACCATGAAGTAACTTTACCTTAGTTGACTTAGAAGTGATTCAACCTCAATTTTTTATCTTGAAAATGACAATGTGTACTATGCTTACAGCTCTTGAAATGTCTTATATTAGGTGACATCTTGAAATGTCTTATATTAGGTGACATCTTGAAATGTCTTATATTAGGTGACATCTTGAAATGTCTTATATTAGGTGACATCTTGAAATGTCTTATATTAGGTGACATCTTGAAATGTCTTATATTAGGTGACATCTTGAAATGTCTTATATTAGGTGACATCTTGAAATGTCTTATATTAGATGACATCTTGAATTGTCTTATATAAGGTGACATCTTGAAATGTCTTAAAATGTGACAAAACCAGTTAAGTATAAATACAATCATGCACAATATTTTAAAACATGACATTACCTTCACTGTGTAAAGTATATGACCTCTTGTTATGGAATCTGGTGGATGGATCCACTGTTTATTTGCTGAAACCAGAAAAATACAGCTGCATAAAAACATGATACTGGCATAAAGTAATTATATTAATGGTATGCCATTAGTAATGAAGCAATTAAGAATTACAGACATTAGTGGGTTCAAATACCAGTCTTCAAAAATATTTGCTGAAAGGCATACAAACTAATGTCTAAAATCATTTCATTTAAA